CCAAGGTTTGACACAGCTGAGCTGGGGCAGGGTGGCAAGAACAGCTCAAGCAGCAGCACTGAGTAGCACCTCCCACCTAACACAAGGAGTCTGACAGATTCCTCTCTGGAAGTGTCCAAGGCCAGGTTGGATGGGGCCTTGAGCACCCTGATCTAGTGGAAGGTGTCCCTGCCCATGGCAGGGGGTGGAACAAGATGGTCTGTGAAGTCCCAACCCAAACAGTTCTATGATTCTTTGACTCTTGCCACTTCTTTTGTTCCTTCTTTTCTTTCTCATCTTTGTGTTCTGTGTAAATGAGGGCATTATACTGAAATATGCAGAATATATTCTATATACTCAGAGCTTTTCTTAATTGCACATAGATCAGTAAGAGGATTATTGGAGTGGTGAAAGCTGCATTAAACTGTCCTTCACTGGCCCATCTTGCCCTCTCTGGCCCATCAATATCACAAAGTTTGCAAGGAGCAGGAAGACTGTACTTTAAAACTCTTAAATCTCCATTCCCTGTTCCCCAAATGGTTGTACAACTTTTGCTGCCTCAGTCAGCCACCACTGAAGGGTTCATTTGACCTGTTATCTTAAATCCTTGTGAGATGTGCTAGAGCAACTAGTCTTTAGGGTGCTTTCTTCTAAATAAGTGATAACAATTAAATGATTTTTGCACTTTTCCTTCCCTGTGAATGCCACAGCCTCTATTTCTAACTGCACTATATTGCTGAAAATACCTTTTGGTCGCAAGGGATCTTCAGTCTTTGTACTTTCCTTTCTTTTGCACTTTACTTACCCACAGGATGTCAGTGGTAGGGAAGCATGGCAAAATGAGAGTGAGAAACTTTCTGCCACTGTGGAACAATCTTATATCTCAATGGCTGATTGATATCCTGCCTGAAGTTGTCAGACAGAACATCTCTCTCCTCTCCCACAGGCTGCTTGTAAAGTCAGAACTAGGCTGATCATTATCTGCATCTCTCAAGTCATGATTTCCCTCTTAATTTGCTCTTTTACAATTCCAATTTTGCGGGAAGTTGGGGGAAACTCCCCTCACTCCTGGGCTTTTTGTTGACTTAGTGAGAAAAATTTAGTCTGAAAGTTATCAAACTAAAAACTAGCAATATGAATGCAATAAACAAATCAAGGTATCTGTTGTCATGTTCCAAACATCTCTTGATGATGCTGTTTCTGACATGGGTAGAAAGAAATCTCACCGGTATTTTACATGGAAAAATGTCTTGATGTAATTTCTTACCTGTTGATACTTTTTCTAAATTAAAACCTGATATAAACTTAGGATTGTTTCATGTATTACTTCACTACTAGATTTAAGATAGCAGAAGCAATTCAGACACGTTGCTCGTTTGATTTTTCATATATGATTCATGAAAAAAACAAACAAAAATTACGGCACTCACAGCAGAAGAAGGCTTTTTGCCTTCTTCCTTCAGTCCTTTCACTCCTTTGTTGCCTGAGTTGTGCTGCTGCTGAGCACAATCCACTCTGTGTCTCAACAGGAGGAAGACAGGAGTTATCTTCTATCTCATAACAGTGGTGTGAACATTCAGGATTGTTTACAGAAGTTCATGTAAGACAACAAAAGATTTACTGTTTGAACATGTCCAGCTTATGCTGCAGAACGTGTGTCCATGAAGATGCTGTAATTTATAGACCACCATGGTTGCTTCCATGAGAGATTGCACATACAAGTCCTGGGAATCTTTAGTTCTAACTTTTGGAGATTTTTCAGTTGACTGAATCAAAAGTGTGAGACCAATAGAGAAGATGGAAAGGGAACTGTAACCAGCTGTGGGCAGGTGTAAGCTCATCTGGGACTGGAAATGGTAGTTACTTTGGCTTTAGGATTCCCAGTAGCACCACCTGATAGTATTAATATGATATTATTTATGTGACATTATTAAGTTCAGCCTTGGCAAGGTCAAACTCTGATTTATGCTATCAGTCTTCAGACAATTGTAAAACCCAGAGTTTTGGGAGAAATGAGTTCTCCATCTCCTTAAACTCTTATTTCCTTACTTTTTGTAAAACTGAGAGAGTGAGACTTGTCCACATGCCTCAGGAGGGTGTTGTGAGTATTAGCCAGATAAAATCAGCTTTCTTTAACGAGCACATAAAGCTGCGTTTATCTACCAAGTGTGATTTATGTCTGGAAGCATTTGAACTGTGCCTCTCCTTCCCATGGCTTGGTATTTACCAGACTTGTTCTTACAGGGGTGCAAGAGATTAAGGGAAAAACAACAACATACTGGATGCACTGGGGCAGTTCTTCTCTCTCAAAAATATCCTCAAAAAGAATGTGCACTTATTTGTCATCACAGACAGCTTCTTATTAGACCATTGGCACTGCTTAGGGCTTGGTTTGTCCGAGGTAAAATCGAAGATAGACTGGAGCACAAGAGATTTGGCTCTGCTGCTGTACTTCTGCCCTGTTGAGTGACATAGCAGAGACTCCAACACATGAAGCTGCCCTAGCCAGGTTTCTGAAGACAACATTACAAGTTATGTGATATTCACGCTGCACAGTGGATACCTGAACTAAGAAAATCCTGCTGTGGAACCACAGATTTTCTGAATGGGTTTCTGGCTGACTGCTGTCAGCAACAAAGCTTTCAAAGAAAGGGAGAATTCTTTGCTGAGGAGTAAAGGAGCTTCTCAGTGCCTTTGGGTCATTCATAACATACAGTTTAGCATTGCTTCGTGCTAATGAGGAAAATAATAGAGTGGTGGTGGTATGTGGTATGGAATTGTGTGCACATTCCCAACACTTGACTCTCCTGAGACAGGCATTCCTGAAGAAAGAGCTGCTGTGTGCAGAGAGAACAGTGTTACTTTCCAGTTTGCAGAAAGCAGCCACTCCTGCCCTGCATCCCCAGTTATTGAGGGTTTCTGTTTCTGAAATCATAAAGCAGAGATCGTTCAAGCCTCCTGACATGAGGTGTAGGAGCAAGGCAAGTGTGGGACTGGGTGTACTTGAAAACAAACATGCACCTTGCCATGGACTCCTGGGCGGGTTTGAATGACTGAAAGACAGGCCTTTTTCTACAGTCACTGCTAATTATCAATTAGTCACTGTAAAGCTATTCCACGGTACAATTGACTTATGCAGACAGGTTATCTTGTACACTGAACATCTGACCTCCCCTGTCCCCCTGCCCTGTGCCACATCCTCTCTATCAGTGTGAGATGACTCATCGTGGTAGAGAGCTGTTAAAAAAAGATAATTGAGATAATTGAGAAGAAAAAGATAATTGAGATAACAGAAGAAGGTGCTTGTTACGGTAATTAAGCAACTCCATGGATTAGTTGCCTTTTGTTTTCATCTGACAATTTCCCAGTTCTATAGTGAACCAAACTCCCCCATCTGCTCAGGAACTGGCCCAGGGCTGGCTGAAGGGATGTTCTGGCCTTGCCAAGAGGCATCCAGCCCTTGCCACAGGCTGCCCTGGGGCTTGCAAAGCCTTGCAGGGCATGAGAGTCCCCCGGAGAAGGTCTGGATGTGCCTGTGGAGAGGTGGGGAGTGAAAATACCTGAGGGTGGAGGACTGCCACGTTCCTGGACTCTGCATCCAAGGGTCTGGGGAGGTCACCAGTGCAAGCAAACACTTTGCATGAGCTCAGAGATGCAAGAGCTCGATGGCAGTCGGCAGTGGAGGCACTTATTTCAGGCTGCACAACCCTGCACTGGATGGTTTGAGCACACAACAATCATTTCTCTCACGCAGATGCAAATCGAGGCATCAGATGAGGAGATATTTGCAGACCTATCTTCTGCACTTTACTAACTTTGGTTGTTTACTTAAATTCTCTGTAAGAGTTTCCAGTTGCTGTCTTGCAGAAGTGATTTGACTGGAAGCTGACTGACTACATTTCACTCTTGCCAGCTTCTGTTGGACAAAACTGAATTTATGATGTGTCTTCTGCTCATGTCACAAATTCACCATTGCTTTGTTTCATAAAATGAATGAAGTGATTTTGAGGAATAAAAGTATTAGGCAAATATCTGGGAAGTCTTTTGCTTATCTATAAAAATTAATCAGTTTTTTTCAGATTTTACACTTACTACAGATTATGGCTGGACACAGTGCTGGTGAGCTGCACACACAAAGGTATGATGAGCACTACGTCACGGAAAGACTGAAATAGCTTGGATTTGCACTTGGAAAATATTAACAAGACTGAGTATCGATTTGGTGAGTTGATATTTAGAAATTTGAGATCTGACGTGATAGATTCAGTAAGATGGATGGATGTTAATGAACCTTTTTCTTCTGCTCAGGGCCAGGAGCATGTGTAAGCATTCTGCTGATTGATCAGAAATGTGGCTGATTTTTCTTTGCACTAGAATGCAAAAAAAAAATGGTTGTTTAGGAGAGCTGAATGTGGAATAGAAAATGTAGGAAGACACAAAAATGCGAGAAAAGTGAAATAGCTGCTTTATTTCTTGGTTTCATCTTCGTAGGTGTTACCACAGAAATAATCTTTTCTATTTTAATATTTATTATTTCCTTATCATATTTTAATCAGGTGGCAGAAACACACGAGGAAATGCTTTTGATATGTTACATGAGTTTCACTCCTTTTATATAATTGTATCAGATGCATTTTCTATCATCTAGTTCTGTCTTTCCCCCAAGCCCATGAATGGAAAGCTTCAGAACAACAGTGTAGTTGTTGAGCATTTCCATCGTGCTTTGATCCCAGAAACATGCTCATCCCACCAGTGAAAACAAGAAATGGAATTATATGCATTTTGATACCTACTGGTGTGAAAGCAGGATGTTCCAACCTTTCACCAAGTACAAAACATAAATGAAGACTCTTAAATACTTTTGGTGCTCAGGTAAATTATAATTTTATTGGTTTATCATTTGTTACATCTACCTTATATATTTCAGGTGGACAATAAATACAATAAATAACTTTTCTGTTCCCCCTTCTTTTTTAAAGGGTTTGGGGTTTTTTTAAAGCTTTTTTTTTTTTTTTTTAAAATTAAGGGCTGAATTTATTCATTGCTTGATAGGTTGTCAGGATTGTATTCAGAAATTCTGACACAGTTCCCTTGGTCTTGTACTGGCATTGATCCCCACGTGGCAGGCTCTGGGATGGGAAGAACAAAGATTGGGTTAGCAAAGATTTTATGATACAATAAAGAATTCAGATGAAACAGTAAAGATATACGTTATTTGGAGCTACACAAGAATTCAAAAAGCCATTGTTATAGACTTGTTCCTCGAGCAGTGAGTATAAGAGTGGCTTTTCATGGTGACTAAGAAGGTGACAGTTGGATTGTCATATACTTGTAGCTGAAGTCATTTAAACCAGACTGTTCCAACCCAGCAAACAGGGCAGATGGTGTGAGAAGCTGGGTAAGACTGGTCTGCCTGGGATTGCAAGGCCATCCTGACAATATTCCTTCCTTGCAAGTTTGAAGCCAGCTTAAAGGAGCTGGAAACACTGCATTGTCAGCATCTTCTGTGCCTCGTAGAATTACACAACAATAAAGGATGTTTCACTGCCTCAGAAAAGGCACCCGGGGCCCCCAGAGAGCATCACCACAAGCTCAGAGATGCTGCAGTCACAGCAGTAGTTCATGCCCAAGAACTGTTGAAGAAGCTGCAGCTTAGGTGGAATTTATGCTGCAGAGGGAAGGATGCTCTGCCCACCTGGCCCCAGCCCTGCAGCTTCTGCACAGCCACTCTGCAGTTTTTACTTAATATCTAAACACATTTGGAGAAAGGAGAGTAGAAAAGCAATTTAAATACTGCTCCTCTCCCAGAGATCTTTGTTTAAAGGTCCTCATGCTAAAAGCCTTTGGAGAAGGGAAGAAAGAGCCCATCTCCCTCCTCCCTCTGCCAACTGTAACAGCTTTCCACTGTTGCAGTTATCATACCTGCACAAAATGGGCATTAAAAACACATCTGAAATTAATTAAACACTTCTCTACAAATGTTGAAATTAGGCATTACAGGTGTTATATCTCTTTTGTAAAAGATAGATAAAGATCTGTAGAAAAGTAAGGAAGTCTTACTTCACAGAGGTTTCTGTCCAGCTGAACCTGGAAGGTCTGGTAAAGCCTTTCAAGTACTAGTTTGGAAGACATGTTGGTTTTCAGCATGTGTTTGGTTCCTTCCACAAAGCATGGCAGTTCATGGCCAGGCTGGTAAATGAAGAAGGAATTAGAAAAAGCTAGAATGCATTTTGTATTTATCTACAGAAAGAAGAAATCCGTGTGCCTCAATATGGCAGCACGTCACAGTTAAATGCAATGATTTTGCAATGTATTGAAAACTGCTCCAAGAACTCTGGGGGGATTGTGAAACACTGAATCCTCATGTGTGCCATGAGAAACACCTGTCCCATCTCTCAGAAAACCTCAAACTGTAAAAGGAACCTCTTTGAAGTATAATTTCAGCTGATGCTGGGGCTTCACTGTGTCTGAGGAGACTGGGTACACCTAGAGCTAAGTCCGAGGGTGACATGTCTGGCCCAGGTTCTCTTAGCATTTAGGCACCCAACCATAAAACAAAGGCTTGCAGAGATTTTCAAAGCAAGAGCCTGTATCTCTTGATATGTAAATCAAGCCCACAGAGGACTTTTGCCTCTGAGCTTGCTCCTGATTGCACTGTAATGGGAGGGCTTCTGCTTCCCTCCCCACCACTGTCCATCAAGATCAGTTTTGCTGCTATTGGTGCATTTAAAATAACTGAAAGCAAAAGTTATGTAAGGAGCAAAGTGAGCAAACTTAGCAAACTCAGTTAATACCAAACTTCTTTAGCATCTACACAAGGTACAAAAAAATATACTCACCTCAGGAATGGGAAGACACGAACATGACTGAAAATGAAAAGAGCGAGGGTTAAAACCCAGTGTTCAGTGTACAAATACAGATTTGTCTAAGTCTGATATTCTCAAAACCCGTGTACTCACGCTGCCAGCTGTCTGCCTACAGGGGCAACTCAGGGAACTATCAACCTGGAAGAACAGCAAGTGAGAAGTCAGGATTTATGCCCATCTCCTGCACAAAGGTGCAGCTTGGCAGAAGGAAGGTGCTAAAGAGCCACTTACAAGCAGCCGCTTTGTGTAGCGGATAATTTCCCGGCCCCCGCAATAGTGCTCTGCTTGCACCGAGAGCAGCAGGCAAGAGAAGAGTATGTATGACAGCATGCTGGCACTCATGTCAGCTCAGTCTGATGGGTGACAGAAGAACGGGAGGACGGCTCCTTTTAATTGAGTCTTCACAAAATTCCCATTCTAATATGGAAAAACCCAATTATAAAACTGATACCAGGTGCCCACTATTTTTTCCTGCTATCTTGGACAGCATTTTAACGAAATCAAACGTGGAATTGAGTCACCTACTGCAGTGACTTTTCTTCAGCACTCTGGAAATTCACAAATGCTCCTCAGAAGTGCTTAATTTGAACATTATGATATCACACCCCAGCAGGAAACAATGGTTAAAAATCTACGAAAGCGTTTTTTTTTTTTCAGATGTGGGTTTTGTCCCTTGCACTCGTGTAAGTTATAGTTCCATGAAAGCAAAGTGATGATAATGTTCAGCATTGCCAGAGTCCCTGAGAAAGCCAACTGATGTGCTGCAGGTTTCCCCCCGGATTCAGGGCAGGACCTTGTTCAGAGAAAGCAGGTGACACTGGAGGGGTCTGTGGGGCAGACAGATGGATGGACAGTGGTGGGGCAGTGCCTGGACAAGCTGTCACACTGAATTACAGCTGCTGCATCCGAGGAGTGATCCCATGGTCCTGGAGTGTGATCCCACCTCTGCTGAGAGCAGGTGCCCCAGGGTGCAGCTCAGGGTGGGGCCCTCAGGGTGCAAACAGCGTCGCATCCCACCCTATGGTTACCAGTCCTAGGTAACCAAAGTGTGATTAACTTGAAAATCCTCTCAGATGGCGTCTCCAAATGAGGTGAAGGTTGGCTACAGCCCTCCCTGGCCACAGAGGTGTCCTTCTTTCAAGTTGCACACCTTGCCAAAGCAAGCGGTAGCCCTTCAGATTCCTTTTAAATCCCCAGTGTTGACTTCTAAGCTTCCCTCCTGTTTGCCTTAAGTCCCATTATGCCTCAAAGGTCTTCTCCAAAAGCTTGAGCCTTTTTCTGGTCAGTCTGGCTGAAGGATTAGTGAGATCCCTCTGGAAACTGTCCTGGAAAGAGAAAACATTGGGTTGCAAGTAGCTGTTTTTTCTCTGGCATTTGTGTACCAGCAAGGGATTCTTTTGGCTGAGAATGGCTTTGCTTGCCAGCAAGGGGAATGGAAGAAGACCTGCCTGTTTCTCCTGCCCCTGCCTCCCTGCTGCACACCCAGCACCAGCTCCACTCTGGAGTGGATGTTTCCTGCCTTTTTTTTTTTTTTAAATTTGCCCGTAGGGGATTTGGTGTGGAAAGTGTACACATCCCATTAGGCAGGTACAGCTCACATTACACAGGCCCCAGGGAATACCTAGAAAAAGCCAGAGACCCTCCCTTGGCAGCTAAAGTTGATGGCAGCAGGTTGTGTTATGATCAACAGATGCACAAACACACCGTGGGGATGGCTGGCATCCATGAGCAGGGCAGGGGCATCTTTCAAGGCACTGGATTGTTAGAGAAGGACTAAAATCATTGATTAGCAATTCAGAGCCCGGGATTCCCTGAAAAGCATGAGAGAGACTTCATTTACAGGTACATATCCTTCAAGGAAACTGCTCCTGGCTCAAAGCAATGGGCAGGCTGCTCTCTGTTTCTCCAGCCAGTAAAGCCACAGCAAGAGTGAGAGCAATTGTTCAAAGTACAAATCCCTGAAGGAAATAAATTATGTGTAACATTTGTGAGACACTTTTTTTTTTCTCAGAAGGTTGAAAAAAAAATGATTTTACATTCTTTTAAAGGAAAGAATTCACAAGTATCTTTGGTTTAACCAAGGTTGTGCAAGGAATATGGTAACAATGGCAGAGAGGGGCAAGATGCTCTTCATAACAGCCAGGAGGTTCTACTCTGTCTGTTTTTAAGGAAATTATGCTCATTAGAGATCCAGTTTTTCCCAGGAACTGCTACACTGTCTTGGCAGAGCTGTTACAAAATCTGATATATTTAGCAGGGTCTCCAGGACCTCATCACCTAAGGAATGATATCTCAGTGTAGCTGCCATGCTCTATAAGTGAAAACAATTGATGGCATAAAGCTATTGGGGGTGTAAATCATATGCAAGATGCATAATTAGGACCTTTCCATATATGACATGTAATTATGGACAGTGTAATTACGGGCAGTGAGCAGTTTAGATAACTTCTTCCCAGGCCTACAGCCCAAAAGGCAAGGTCTGTGTTTTTGTTTCTGATTGAAAATCAGAGTGGCAGAGCTTCCAGAGCTTCTCTGGAGCTGCTCCCAGCCCCGGGTTCCTCCTGGCAGTCACTCCCTGCCAGCAGTGCCAGCGCTATCTCCACATCTCTGCATTGCTCTTTGATTGCTTAGTGACATCCCACTCACACTGTTGTTGCTGCAGGGCAAATGGGTCGTCAGAGAAGCTGCATTCAATTTAGACTGAAACAGAAATCACCAGAAGTCAAACTGGCAGCGAAAGAACTTTCCCTGTCTTGGTTAGAGCAGAGATGGATGAGGTGCAGGAGCGAGTGGCACCAGTTGCAGCTTCTCTTTAGAGAGCTTAGGCTCTGTTCTGGCATTTAGAGGCTGATCTAAAGAGTGTAGAAATTAATATCTGATGCCATCCCAGCAGAAAGACCAACTTTGTAATAGAATCTTCAAACGTTTAGCTTTGATATTTTAAAACTCTTCATTCTGATGACAAGCTGCAGCAATGTATTTTGACAACTAGGGTATCATTTGCGGGCTAATTTTCTGTCCTCATGTCTAGGTGGCTGATCATCCTCTGTTCTGCTCCTTTAATCTCTCTTTCAGCAACACAGACCAAAATGTGGAGAGGAGATGATGGCATATCCCCATATATCCTACTGCTTCCCTACCCACTGACAGGGTGCAGTGGAGGAGCAGAATAAGGAAGGGGCAGAGATCTCCATCACCAGGGGTACTGCCAGCACCAGGGCAGCCCAACAATTTTCAAGTGACAGGATTTTAACCCAGAACAGATAATTGGAAAAGGTGAACACACAAAACTCTCCAAGATATTTCTATGATCTCTTACAGGCACTTTGCTCTGGCTGCTTTGGAAATCCTCATCTAATGTCCTATACATTTTTGGTTTATGTGTAAATACTTTGGGATATATTTTCTTTCAATGCACTTACTTTGATGATAGGTCGAATGACAGAAAATGCTGCACAAACATCCGATTTCCAGATCGATATTTTAACATCATTTGCCTAAAACTCCAGATATGAGTTCTCGTGAGAGAATTTGCATCCCAGTGTAGAGTTTCCAGGAAACTCTGCTCAGTTTGGGTTTTCTAATGTGGAAAAAAAGACTGCCTGTAGAGTAAAAATACCCAGATAACAAAGCAGCCTGCTTTACATTTGCTGTGTGCACTGATCAAGATAGAAGGGCTGCAAAGACCACAAATGAAGAGATGCTAATTCATAGTTTCATTTTCTAGAGATAAGGCAGCTTGGAGTATTTTTTTCCCCTTTCTTTTAGATAAAGATGACGTATACTAATGTAGAAATGAAGGAAAGTAGGGGCATTCTAATTCCTTTGTGAAAGGGTAAACCATAGTACAGCAATACCAATATTGCCTATGACAGAAAGGCATCAAATCCTGATGAACTCAAGGAACATTTCATATGCCAGCTTGAAGAGGGTAGTGGCACCCCCTGAGAGCCACACCCTGTGCTCTGCCCTAGCAGATGGACCAGGGGATGTCCTCAGGACTGTAGATAATTGAGCTCTCATTATTTTTCAGAAGCGTTAATTAATTTGACACCATTTAAGCTTACTAACAAAAACTAGCGGCGCTCAGGAGAGGGGAGAGCACACGAGAGAGACCTTCAGAGCTGCAAGTCCTCCTTGCTTCATGCAATAGGACAGTCACTGGAGCTTTCCTGGGTTGTCCCAAGCTCTCCATGTTGCGATGATATTTAGCAAGAGCTGAGGCATCTGCAACAAAAAAGCCCTGGCAGCAACATTCCAGCCACTCTGGGTGTCATGCACAGTGCAAGTGCTTCCCACAACCAACCATCTCCAGAAGGAGACAGAAGAAGGCAGGAACTGACCACAAAGTCACCTGCTCTCTTGTATTTTAAGTTTTCTCCTGATGCCATTGCTCTCACTTCAGTGTCTTCTTTTGTGTCCTGACTGCTTTCATGAGGAAAGAGAAACACTCAACTCTCTCACATCACAAGTCCACTCACCCTTCCTTGCTTGTCCCGCTGTGCGATGACCCCGCGGGCTGGATTTCCCACTCAGCACGGCTCGTAGAGAGAGGCTGAACGCTCAGGACACACAGGCAGCACCAGGCATTCACTCTGTGGCTGGGCTGGAGCTCCTCAGCAGCCAGCCCTGCTCCACAGCTCGCTTTTCCTGCTGGGAGCACTGACAACCCACCTGCGGAGCGCTCACGAGGAACACGGCAGTCGTCACTCGATAATGAGGCCGGTTCCCACCTAGCTGTATGAGTAAGAACAGGCTGGCCCTTTTCCATGAGAATTGGCAGCATTTTCTGTTCTGTGTGTGAAGCAGGCTACATTAGTGCTAAAATGTTTTGAAACACAGGAGATGAGCTCCTTAAGTGCCGGTGCTTTTGCAGCAGGTGAGGCCACGCAGGTGCCAGTGGCAGGGCAGTCTCAGCATGTCCTTCCACACTGGCAAGGTTCTGGTTTCTCCAAATGTTTCCTCTTGGGATCCATTGCTTTCTCCATCATTCAAGAGGACCTTCATATTCTTTTCAGAGTTTATGTGTTCTACAGCCCTGTAGCCTTAGAATTTCACCCATACCAAGAAAAGATTTCTTGATGCAACCAGCATTTTATATTTTACAGTGAAACTCCATTTGGGACCTCTGAGACCTCCTTAGAAAGACACTCTCCTTCTGCTGCATGTATGGCTCCTAACAGGCTGATTGTTCTACTAGGGTCTGACTCTGGAGCTGCACAGGTTCTACAGTTTGAAAGAAGTGCCTTAAAAATCAGTGTGACTACTTAAATTTCCCCTCTCTGTGTGGTTTCATTCCTTTTGGAGCCTGTGTCTGGAAGGATACTCTGTATATTGCTTATCTAGGTTGGCAGTGATCAGTCTATGCATCACTAAGGGACCATATGTAGGAAGATAATGTCTTTAGAGGGAGGGAGCTGTTGTGCAGTTTACATTCATTTTAGCACTTGAACTTCTTCCCACTTGTCTTCTTGGATCTCACCGTTTCTTCCGACTCCACACTTCACCTTTTTTCTTCACAGGTACAAGACAGGCTTTGGCCTTCTTGGCTGACATGACTGCCATGTGCAGGAGAGGAATCTCTACTACAACAGCCTCTATGACAAAGCAAGAACTTCAGATTAAACCAAGGAGACATATCTTAATGCCTGTGAAGATGTCACACTACTCCTCTGTCTCAGAGTACAACAGAAAAAGAGAAACTGAGATGGGGACTGTGATCTTGCCTTCCCCTGTGGTGGGGACACGCCAGGCAGGGACTCCCAAGGCATGAGGAAATCTCAGCCTGGCTCAGAGCCATCCGAAAATCATTTAGGTTGGAAAAGACCTTTACAGGCAGGGCTTCAGTCAGTGCTAAAACTGCTGGGCAGCCCCAGCCTTCTCCCACCCCATGCCCCTTGGGCATCATGAAGCTTCTCCCAGCCCCAGAGACCTTCCTTCAGGTCAGGGCTGTTTTCTAGAAAAATGGTTTTTCACTTGGTTCCTGGTTGGTCAGTTTATTTCAAACGGGAAATCAGCTGCTGTTACCTTTTTTTCCTTCCATAGCACTAAATAGTGTATAAACTGTTAAAAACAGCTACACAGCCAGCATCTCATTAAATAAAGCTGTTGTAAGAGCTGGAATGCCACCAGAGACATGAAAGTTGGGCAATTACAGATGTATTAGAGGGATGACAGGTCTGAGTATGCTTTCATAATCCAGGCAACAAAACCAGAAGTGGGTATCCCTGGGCCTTCTGGTCTCCCTTCTCATTTTTTTGACAATTTCAGGATTTACTGCTTTTATCTTAGAAATGAGCGGCTCTGTAAGGACCTTGAACAAGCTATCAAGCAGGTGGCTCTGTCCACTCCAGCATGTGAGTGGAATGTGTCACTGATGGCAGGTCACTACAGACACAGCACTGGCAGAGGAGCTGATCCATGTCCTGACATGGGGGATTTTTCTTTTGTGTAGCTCAGGGACAAAATCACCAACACATGCACTCAGTGCCCCGTTGCATCAGCTGTGTGTATGTCTGCCTGCCTGCCTGCTTTAAACTCACAGCATCAGGTCCCCCAGAAACTCCTTAGAGATCCTAATTTCTACCCATGGATACTGATATAAGCTCTAAAAATTAATGCATTTGCATGAATCATGGAGAAGATCATTCACAAGACACAGACCTGTCAAGTCTCTGTGTGCATAAATTGTGATGTCCATCCCTCATCTTTGGGACATGGGGCTGTGATGTCCCCTGTGGTATCACCCCACCCCACCACCTCTTTCACTGTGACACAGCCACACACTCCCTACTGCAAAAGCAAGACCAAACTGTCTGTGGGGCTCCATAGGCAGGGATCATAGAACCATGGAATGGTTTGGGTTGGAAGGGACCTTAAAGCTTCCCTCCTTCCAGCCCCCCTGCCATGGCAGGGACACCTCCCACTAGAGCAGGGCCTGTCCAACCTGGCCTTGGACATTTCCAGGGATGGGATCGGTCACAGCGATGGGTGCCACAAAGTGCTGTGCCCCAAAAGCTGCTTGGCCCAACCCTAAGGTGTCCTTGGTCACCAAGAGGACCCAGAGGCAGCTCAACCTCCTGCACAGTGGCCAGGGCTGCCATCCCCCTTGGAACCTCGTGCTCTAGCCTGGTGCTGCTTTGCCTCACTCTGTGAACACTGATGGGGTGATGCACTGATTAACCAGTGTGTCCAAGGCTTGTCTCCCATGCTGCTGGACCAGGGCAGCCACCTGGCAGGGCAGAGTCACCCCAAAATCACTCAGAGGCTGTCCAGTGTGCCCATGGGGAAGAGAGTGTGTGCTGGTCTGCCAGCAAACCTGGGCTTGGGGTCGAACAGAGCAAGACACAGAGAGGAGGCCTGGCAGCTCCAGTGAGCAGCACATGCCATGCCCTGATGAGGGATGAGGGTGCCATCAAGTGGCCAAAGCTTTATATTCAATTCCCACTTGCTCTTCATGTTTTTTATACTATATCATATATATTTATAATATATCAAATAGCTTTCTGTCCTCTGCTCCCTTTCCACACCAGGTTCCCCACAGCTCTCCCTGGCAGCTCCTTCTGGCAGGTGTGTGTTACACAAGAGCTTTGTCCAAGTAAATCCTGGGCACCCATCTCAAAACTGGTTTAATTGGATGAATAATAACAGGAAAGATCACCATGCAACTCCAACGTGGGTATCAGGGCTTTATGCCCAGGGGGCACTGAACAGACTGAACGTGGGCACCACCAGGGCAGGATCGTGCAGATACACAGCTTGTCATGAACCTGATCAGTTTAATTAATTCATGGGCCATTTTTACATAATGCAGGCACATAAACAACACCATTTATTTGCATCGAAAAAACAGTCTCCCCAAGTATTATCCCTGGAGACACATGATATTATCCATCTAAAAAACATGTTTTACATGCGTGCATAAAAAGACAACATGGAAAGGATGAATCCTTAAACGCAGCCAGCAACAAATACTTGTGTGAAGGCTCATCAATTTTATCCATATTGTTTATCAAAAACAGTTCCCTGTGTTCTCACCAAGGTCAAAGGCACTGTGAACCTCCTTGCCTGCGAGCCCTGAGATGAAGCAACACCAGCTGTTGCTGGTTCTTCCACTTTTTAAGGCCAGTTCTGGGGGCACCAACACTGTTTTTAATTTGGGCCCCAGTGATGAGAAGCCCAAAGTAGGTGACTCCATTCCTGAGTGCTGCTCCAGACTCAAAGTTTAAGGCACTTTTTGCTGAAACCTTCAAGTCTGGTCACCAATTCCTCCATTCATCCAGGGAAGAGGACGTAGGAGTTTCTCTTTCCTTCTCCTCCTTTCATGGAGGAAAGCTGGAGGGCTGCTCCACATTGTCTTCAGAAACCCTTATTGAAGGCATCAGCTAAAACTGCAATCATTGGGCTTTTCCCCCAGAGTCCCTCTCCAGAGGAAGAGCTGTCGTTCTAGAACATTTCCTGGAGGACAGTGCTGTCCTTGATTGTTCCCCCATGCCATGTGTCCCTCTGCATGTGAGCCAGCTACCCCTCAGCCTCTCTTGCCAGTGCCACCAGAGCCCTCTTCTCCCAGCAAAGCTGGTTCTTCTTGGGTTTTGGCATCAAAAACTCCATGGTTAGGAAATAAATCACAGAGATATTCAACAGCACAAACAGAAATAATCATGATGTAAAAGATCTTGGAATGATTGAAAGGCTGAGGTAGACCAAAGAGAGACCTGGGTCTGCCCCAGTGCTCTCGGTGGGAGTGCAGTGAAGAGCTGGAGGTCCGAAGGTGTTCTGTGTATTAAAGAGACTTCCTTTGGTGATGGTCTCTTCAAGGCTGGGAAGTGATGTCTGCAGGATTTGGCAGTTGCCAAGCTGGATCACCGTGTCAGGGAGCTCAGAAGGTCTTTTGAGATAACTCCAGCAGGTCCCTGGAGGCCTGCACCAGGCAAGCTGTGTAAATCAATAGCCAGACTTCTATATGAAATGCAGACTTGATTTATTGTTTCCTGAATAAAAAAAGGAGCTTAGTTCTCTGAATGTAACATCCTCCTGTTTTCCAATTTAATATATAAACTGGGATAACAGACTGAAGTTGTTGAAGCCCTTCACGTTTTTTCATAATAATGTGTTGCATTGTGGCAAACTGTGATGGAAAACACGAGTGTGTGTTTGTACAGGAGGAATCATCTAGTTCTTTAAACCTGAAAGCAAGCTAGGATTTGATAGGAATCCAGACCTTCCTACAGGAAAAGCACCTGTGTACCCACCACACCTCCTCCTCTCCTTGTTCACACAAAAGATGAGCATTATTTGCAGTGTTGTATGAAAGATGCTCCCTCGGTGATGTCAGATGGGCTGGGTTTAGACACATCCCTTGGGAAAGGGAGGTGAGTTTTTTCCTGGCTCAACAGGAAAAATGTCACTGATGAAAAAGCCCACCAATTATTGAGGTGTTCTTAGTCAACAGAGTGAAAGATTTGATAAGAAAATGGTCTTTGGGTTTGACTGAGCTGGTGCCATTTTCGGAGTCCTGCACGGACACAGTCCCAGCAGGTGCTGTAGGTGCAGGATGGGAGTCTTCAGTCAGAGCAGCTGAGCCCACACCAACACCACGCTGCTGATTTGGCTCAGGAAAGCAGGGGGCTTTCTGGTTCTTCTTGGCAACACTTTTGAAATAAGAAAGAAGGAGATTTATGAAGTACTGCAGAAAACAGCAAAGACCGCCAAGAATAATTGTGAGTAAAAAAAGTTTCTTTAATCAGTTTTCTTTTAATCTGCTAAAAAAAGTTTCTTTAATCAGATATTTTTAATGCTGCTCCTTTGTGCAACCCTAGGTTAATGAGGGAAAGAGTGACACAGTGACTTGATAGTCAGGACACTTTAAAAGGGCTTAATTTCAGGTCTTTGTGGATGGAACAAGGGAGGGAAGAACACTGTTCAGGGACTGTGGTGAGAATATTTCAAAACATATAAAGTGTTAGAGAAAAATCTCCCTTCAGATTTTCATTTCTGATTGACATTAATCAAAACAATCACAAAAATCAGAACATATTGCAGTGAAGTTCCAGGGGAACTGGACTGAAACTAAAATCCATCAGCACATCTGTTGTCTGCCCTGAATCCCACAGACCCAAGTTAGAGAAGTGGCTATTCAGGTGTGGGTACCCACGTGTCATCTGACTGTCAGAGGATCAATGCAATTGCAACTCTGTTCGATTCAAAGATTAATTCTGTGATTTCAACAAAGCTAGAGGGTCTTTATGTGCTGACCTGGAAGTTAGGGATTGGTCTCAGTTTGGCCTCTTTTCATTGCTTTGAGGGAAAGTTCATAGCCAAGAAACATGGCTGCACTCGATGGGAATCCTCGCACTGTATTGACCGTGAGGCCCCTAAAAAACACCTGTTGGGGATGGAGAAAGGTTAGAGCATAGGAACAAACTGGCTATTTTAAGAAGGGGAAGAAAACATTGAATGAAGTCACGGTGGGATTCTGAAGCACCACATCTTGGTTTGCTTGGAAGATGCACTCTCACTGCTGGTCCTGGCTGAAGCCTGCACTGGAGAGTGGAAACGCAATGGCAAAAGTCCCTGGTTTGGTGTCATTGTTCTCTGTGCTCCCCACGGACCCCCATCTGTACATACCAGCAAGATCTACAAGTGGTGAAGGGTGAAAAAATGCCACTGGTGTAGAACAGAAAGCAAGAAGTCTAAAACATCTTCCAGTGTTGTCCTACCTTGGTGCAGTCACAGAATGATAGAATCATAGACTAGTTTGGATTATCTTGTTCCTACCCCCTGCCATGGACAGGGACACCTTCCACTAGACCTCATTGCTCCAAGCCTTGTCCAGCCTGGCCTTCCTTCCCTTTGCATGTGGGGGTCATGCAAAACCCAGGGTTAAGGAAGGCTGTTGTTTTCCTGCAGGGAATTCTCTGACCCCCGGGGCTGGGTCTGTGGGCACAGAAGGTGTTTGGCAGGCAGACAGGGAGCAGTGTGGCCGTGGGCCAGCCCTGCTGGTGTGGGTATTGAGCCACAGGGACTGGTTTTCAGGTTTCGCCTTTGAGCATAGAAGGAATTTCTCAATCAGCAGAAAACTAGACTCACTCTGTACCTTGCTGAGAACCAGCTCTCACCACCACCTTTGGGAAAAATGTTCAGTAGAAGCTGATATTTTCACAGGAGTGTTCCTAAGGTCAACCTTTGGTACCCACACACAGCCCAGTGCTTTCTCTCATCAGGATAATAAATACCATCAGCCAGATTTCCTCATTCTGCTCAATATATGACTTTTTAAAAGGTGCTGGCATGTACAAGAGAGAAAGACCCTGCAGCTTTTAAGATCTTGAACAGTAAAGTGCCTTTGGAAAGTGGAGAGGGGTCTTGTCACTCCTGGCTCCTGGCCTTGACTCATCTCCCTTTGAACCCCCCTCACCACAAACACCATTCCCTGGTGTGTGCACAGCCTGGTCACAGAATGATGGTTGCAGGGAGTGTCTCTGTTGGCCTGTTTCTCACAAATCACTCCAATCACCACCCAGGCTCATCACCCTGGTCACTGATCTAAACATCACAAGTACAGAATGGACATGAAAAGGAACATCAGCAATCCAGCCCCTTTCCAGGCTTTACAACAGCAAAGTTCCCACAGCTACTGTAAGGAACTGTGGAAGATCTTGGCTCCAAAACCAGAAGCCCATGGATTTAAGAGTCTAGCCAGTCTTTCCCCTGAAATTACTGAGCTCTACTAAACACCATCATATCTTGTATCCAATAAGTCCAGAGCACAGTGCTGACTTGTTTGAGGCAGGATCAAAATGTGTTCACATAGTTTAGGATGGACCTTGCAATGTGAAATTGCAGTATTGGGATATGTAGGATATTATTCTTTTTATTAGGATGTTTTATTTTGCTAGGAAAGAGAATTTTCTGGGAGGAAATTCAATTTTTTGGAATTATCCATAAAGTGACAAAAGAGAACCAAGTTAAATAATAGTGAAGATTTAGGATGAAAAGCCCAGAGGCATAAATTTCTCTCCTCGGAATGAACACATTTGGCTATGGAAAAAGACAAGTGTTATATTTACATTTCTTTGTGTGCATCAGGCAATTATTTGGAGCACTGTGAGTGGTGTTCCTTTGTCCCAGAATGAAAACATCCAGCCCTGAGCTGGCTGTTTGTCAGCTGTGTGGCTCCCAACATTTCAAAAGATTTTCCTCACGAGAGCAGGATCCAGTCTTGCCATCAGCCATTACTCAATCCTGTTGTTGGCTTTGATGTGGGTGCCAGGTGTGACAGCACAAAATCTGCAAGCAGCTCAGACCTCCAGCCAAAACCCCCAAGCACCGTGGCTGTTAATATTCAGGCAGGACAAGGAGGTGATGAGGATGGAGAGAGAAGGGAGAACACGTGGAAAGGCCCTTTTCAGCCACCCTGTGCTTACAGTGTAAGTGCACACCAAATGGAATGTGAGCCTGGGTACCCTGTCCCTCTGTGGGCTGTCCAAGCACAGTCCTCAGCATCTCTCCAGGTGCTTGTGCTTCACATCAGTGTGACTTTCTTCACCCAGTGGCAAAAACTGAACCAGACCACAGGCTCCTGTGACAGCTGGCATAACACAGAGGTATGTTGGCAAATATTGAAATCACACCAACTTGTGATTTTGCAGGTTGTTTTTCTTTTTGTAACTTGTTGAGCTTCTTTCAGAATGTGAAAATCAACACTTTGGAGCTAAGAGCCCACATGATGTTCCGATGATAAATACAGATTTATTTCAATGCCAGAAGATGTTTCTCTCAGCAACACAATAAATTTGCAAATCCTTGTTCTCTGCCGTTCATATTTAACTGAAGCAAAGTTTGCTGGTAGAACAGATATCTTTTATTACACCAATAGACAAAGTCAGAAAAAGGAGATAAGTTTTTTGGCATGCAGCCCTTCTTCCTCTTTGAAACCAAAGCAATTCTGGTTTAAGAATGTTTTCAATCAGCTCTGTCTTGGTGCAAAATGAGGGTGAGCAGTGCAAAGCCAAAGTTCCACCACAGCATTGCCCAAGGTGAGCACACACCCCAGAGTGCCAGCACAGTCCCACCAGAGTCAGTTCATTGGCACTGAAGTCATTGGGGAACATTTGACCTCTGCATTTTGCAGAAGCAAACACTGAGGTGAGATTTCCTACCTCTGATTTCTCATAAGTCAAATCATATTCATGATTAAGTGAGCTGACATGAAGTGTTATTTGAGGTTCATTACACCAGCGGTGTGTGACCCCCAGTCATTCATTTCTTCATTGGCACTCATTGCTCACTATTTTGATTTAGAAAGGATCTGCACTGTAATTACCTCCTGCCATTATAATAATTTAGCAGTAACTGGCTTTAGCTGTCTCTCAACCCTGCAGATAGGTTCGTAACAGCCATTGTATTTTCCAATTGACAATTAAATGCCTAATAACCAGATTTTACTTCAAATATCACTTACTTTTAAGCCCTCGTTCTGGTAGCTCTGCAAGATGCAGTCAAGGGTCCCTTTGTACTGATTTAAATAAACTCCATCTGCCTGAAGTCGACTTTTCACAACATCCATTGGAGTGCATAATCCCCAGGAAATGGCTCCTAGAAAAATGCAGAAGTATTTGAATCATTCCCTCTTTATATTTGCTCGGCTGCAGGTCAGTGAACTCAAAAATTCACCTCTCATCTACAACATCATATTCATGCAATTTTCATTTCAGGGCATTCACCCTGCTCAGGCACAGAAACAGCATTTCTGGGAGCAAAGTTCCCTGTTTCTGGAAGATGCACTGAAATTTTGGAGGTTATGCTGCCAGTCTGATACAGGCAGCCCAGGAGGGGCTCCCCCAGGTGAAAACACATCTTCTGCTGTGCCTCTGGTGGAACATGGACACGCAGTGGGAAGAGCCTGAGCTGCCACTTGGGACAAATTCAGGAAAAACGGAGTCTTCTGATAATTCTGATAATTGTAAAGCAAAGTTTGAGCTGAGAATGCCAATAAGAGGTAGGTCCATCTGGGGCTGCCAGGACTGGGCTCCACACAGCTCAGATACCTTGTCAGTGCTCTAAAGAAACATCTGTGTGCATTGATTAGCCTGCTGCTGAGTGGGGTGGTTTGCCTCTGGAAAGATCAGCACATGACCACAATCTGTGGCCCAGTTGGACAGAGAGGAGTTTGTTTGGACCTACATGAGTGCTGGGGCACTCTAGAAAAGCTGTCCAGATGGGCCAGGGGCCTCTTTGTTTGAGGAGAAATGGAGAAGGCATTTTGTTACCATTACCTGAGCTAAGGATTGACTTGCCTTTGTGGTTCTGCAATTTAGAAAGGGCCAAGAAATGGGGAGTGGGTGTGGGGGTGACCTCCTGCGTGGCAGGGGACAGACAAGCCAGTCTTACTGGCAGGTGTACACACGTTAAAAAGGAGAAGAAGAAGATCAGTAACAGCCAACTTGGCTCCTGCTACGTGTGGGGAGGTGCACACCCTCCTGGTGGGCAGCCAACAGGTTGAAGTCCTCTTCTGGTGGCATCTTGGCTGCCGTGTCACTGGCAGTGTTACAGCCAGGCTGCCCTGAGGCATCCAGGGAGATGAGGGCACCGGTTTTTTTTCCTCCTCACTGACACTGAGCCTGATGAAGGTCTGATAACACTTCCATAAAATTTGCCAAGCCCTGAAGTGCAGCTGTGGTGCCAGAGGACCTGGCCCTGGGGAGGAAGGTCGTTCAGTCCCACGTCCCCTCCTGGCGTTCAGGAGGATGTGGTGGCCCTTGAGTCACTCTCGGAATCACTCCAAGAACCTTCCTGTCCTTGCTGTGCCAGTGTTGTGAGGAAGTCAAGGTGCTTACCTGCTACACCCCCTGCCAGCCAGACAGAGAAGGGACTGGGAGAAATGCATCCCTCAGGAGTTGCCCAGTCACAGAAAACTGCATAAGGGATGAAGTAGACGCAGTACCCGGGAACATCCCTCAGGAGCATTGCCACTGTGCCTCGGTAGATTCCTGCTATCCCCTCTTTCTGTAGGATTGTCCAAAAGCAGTGGATTGGGCCTCGGTACACAGGAGATCCAGGAGCTGTGGGCTTTAGTTTAACGTCTGCTACAAAGAAAAAAAAAGACACAACAGTTAGAACAGATACATTGCCACAGAACTCATCCCCAAAGCCCACTGCCATTGGTTAGAACTTGCTGCCATCCCATTTTTTTCTCATGAGATCAATATGTAGTATGGGAAAAAAGTTTTAGGAAAGAGTACTTAAGTCCATTTTCACAAGGTGTTTAGACACTTCAGGTCAGATTTTTCTTAGATGTGTGGCATACCTCCCAATAGGTGTGTGCCCAGTGAGATTTCTAAAATATTTTAAGGCTATGTGTCTGATTTTCATGGATTTTAACCACATCTGGTGCCAAGTGGCATCACTGAAAGCCTTGATGTCTTCAGAGTCTGGCCCTTCCCATGCAGACCAAGTTGCTTTTGTAAAGGGCACTAGGTTGCTAAGCTGCATGGAGGTTTTAAAAATGAACACTCCAGCCTGCAATGGAATTCAGCTGCTGTCTAGAGCAGAAGTAGCTCCTTCTGCCTGCAGCTGGTGGACAGGGGTAGAGCCACCCCCTGCCATCCTGCCAGTGCCCCCTCCTGACCCATCCTGCCCACGCCTGGGCTGCCTGGCACCCTGCCCCAAATAAGTCAGTGGTCTGCAAATGCACATGGGAGAATTTTGCTGTTGAACAGAGGAGGTGGAGAACCAGAGAGGGGTTTATGGGCAGACAAATGTGGGACTGAGAGCATGCAGAGATGGGGAGCTGGCATTGCTGCTGGCAGCTGTGGTGCTGCTGCTGGTATCTCCAGGGGACCCCACAGCCCAGGGACTCGCAGTTCCTGCAGCTCCTGGTCCTGAGCACACCTGTCCCATGTTCTTCAGAGATCCCAACTGCCTGGAAATGCCATGGATAAAAACTCTCCCCATGAGCTGAACAGGATGGGGAGAAGAAAGGGTGAATTTTTAGCCCCACTGTGCCAGCACAGGGCAGCAGGGAGCCAGGCCCTGGGGCAAAGCTGTCCTAAAGCACCAAGGACTGGCAGAGGAAGGAAGGAGAAACTCCTGCTTCCTACCTTTGCTGTAGGGCTGTGTTTGCATCTGTAGCCTGATCTTTACCAGGTCCACGGGAGTGCCAATGGCCACGGAGACAAACCCTGCCACCGAGCTGGCCACGGTCATGTCGGCGAGCGAGGGCGCGGCGGCCGCGTCCCCGTGGCGGAGCTGGCCCAGGAACCGCTGCGTGCTGCTGAACACCCCGAACACCACCGAGCTGTACAGGCCTGTGGTGGCCATGGGGAAGGACATGCCCTTGAAGAAGCCAGTCACCTAGCCAGGGAAGGGAGCAGGGGTTAGGGGAGTGAACGGCACTGAGCAGTGTAAGCCCCAACTCGTCTGTCGGGCCGGGAATCGTGGGATCCTGGAATGGCTTGGGTTGGAAGGGACCCTGAAGGTCATCTTGTTTCAACTCCTGCCATAGACAGGACTGAAATGCATATCCAAGTAGCAGATGTCTCCTGGAACCAACTGTTTGCACATGCTGAGCAAAGGAAATTAGTTCATGCTGCTAAAGACTTATAAAGACTGTGCAGAACACAGGACGTGGTGAAAGCATAGGAACCCACGTAAAAATCCCTCTCATGGGCAGCTTCTGTCCCGGCTTCACCAGAGTCAGCAGAATCCCTCTGGGAGACCTTTGCCATCAGAATCCCTCTGGGAGACCTTTGCCATCAGAATCCCTCTGGGAGACCTTTTCCAGCAGGATCCCTTTGGGAGACCTTTTCCAGCAGGATCAGGCGAAAGAGCCACTGTGGATGTTAAAGCCATGTGGAGACCCTGATCATGCCATGCCAAGGATCTGTCTTTTCCCTGTAGGGGTAACCAAGAGGGTTACCTTAGAGGTAAGCAGGAGAAGGCTGCAGGGATTTGCAGCTCAGTGGCACCAACTTTATTGGTCTTCATATAACTGCTGGTGCCAACAGCGATTTTGTGTAATTGCTTTATGTGTTTATCTATTTATTGACTTGCACTTTCTACCAGCATTTAAAGTAAGATAAAGCACTTACAGACTCATTTCTGTACACAGTGAGAAAACACTTGAGTGTATTTCCATATCCTTGTCCAGCTTGCAAACGAGTCTGCAAAAGACATTCATAAAAGGCCATTAAAATCCCCCGTTTCCAGCCCAACAACAGCTCATGCTCCGTAAACAATGTGCACTTTGCTTTGAGAGCATGTCCTTCCTTAGTCATAAAGAGAAAAGAGCAATAAAATAAGATATATGTGCATTAACCCCCTTGAACTTTGCCAGAATCTGGGCTAAGAGGGATCTCCAAGGTCTGAAGCTCTTGGCAACATCTGGAATCGATGACTGTCAAATTGCTCTCCAGCCTGGACCAGCCACCCTGTCCCAGCACAGCAGGCTGCTGGTGTGCAGGGCTGTCACTGCCAAGGGTCTGATTTATGTGGAAAATGGAGACTGGTGTGGTCTCCTCCGTTTGGAGGCTCTCAGGGAAGGCTGGGATGTGCTGCTGAAGAGTGGAGAGGTGAGCTCCCCTGGGAGACCCCTGGGGCCCTTCTGATCCAAGGGGGATTTTAAGACATTGAAATGCTAAATGGAGCCAAAATAATTCAGCATCATCTCGGGAATTCTCCATGCTTCACTCAAAAATACATTTTCATATAATTTCCAACAAAGGCATCTTGTTTCTGGAAAGCAGTTTGGTTGTGTGCCTTCCAACAGCTGTAAGAAATGGCCAAAGCCTGTAGGATTTGACATACTTCCCCCTTCTCATATACATATATCTATTTATATATCTTCACACACACATGTATATTTAGATCATCTTTCATTCAAGCAGCTCACAAATTTGCACCAAAAACATCCTATGGAAGGATGCATTTTTTGACCTTAGAGGTGTGCAAGGAAATGGAAACACTGTTCACTTCACAGGACCTGGGGCTTCAGCAACTCATCTTGGTTGAGGCCAGAGCTCATTTTTTTCATAGGAAGACACTCACACATGCTCTGTCAGGGATGGTTTTAGGGAATGGGGACAGCATTTCTGACCATATCCATCAGAATTGCAATGCTGAGATGAAATCTGGAGGGACAGTGCCCAGTCCCCTCTGCTGGCTCAGAGTGAGGGTAGTGACTGACACCAGGGTGAAGTAGGAAATTATCTGGGAATTTAAAGCCCAAAGAAGTGTGTGTCCTTCAGAGTTCACGCCTGGGGAGACCTTTTGCATGCCAAATAGCAGGTTGAATGGCACAATCATTTGGCCCAGAGCCCTGCCAGAGGCTGGATGGGGCCACAGTGGGACCCTGGCACGAGCAGGAGGGGCCAAAGTCTGGGGTGACCCCTCACCCCAGGCTCACCACTCACCCTGGCATGGCTCCATGCAGCTGTTTGCACACGTGCAGCATCACTGCTCTGCTCCTGCACGGCCAGAGGCCTCGGGAAAGGCAGCAGGATATTTACTGAGCCCTCAGGAACAAGCTGGTACATGAAGATGCTGCCACAGCTCACACAGCACACGTTGTGCAACACAGGCAGGCCCGGGCCAGGGGTGCAGACTGTGCACTCTGTGGGTTAAGGGGGCTGGGGGGAACAATGGGGAGGGGCTGCACCCCAGGACAGAGGGACTGCAGTGCCCAGCCCTGAACTCCCTCCCCGCTTCACCCGAATGCTCAGCCCAGACATTGCCTTTTTACCTCAATGGGCTTGTTTTTTTTCTCTTACACAGTAACCAGGTATTTAGAGGTTCAAGTTAATATATTTTTTGAGTAACTGAGGACAACTGAATGTCCTCACAGTCTGTTTCTTGCACACAAACTCCTTAGCTAATCTGTTAACAACCAATGCTGAAATTCCTGCTGGCATCTCTGATAAAGTCAGCTGCTACCAGTACAGATGTTCCTCTGGAAAATTCTCTTTTTTTGTTATGTTTTGATTTGATAGGGCTCTTGGGTGACACCCAGAAACTGAAGAAAGTTGTGGGGAAATGAATGCAATGGGGAGGATGAAAAGTAAGTGGAGGCAGAACTTTCAGAGTTTTGCAAGGCTATGGGAAAACCAGAGCTCCTGGGGTTTGATGGAAGCTGCAAAGCTGGGAGGGGGAGGCTGAAGGAAGAAGCCTGCTTGATGGGAACTCTGGTGTGGGTACCAAGTACCCCACCTAGCCTCATATTTAGTCCTGCCTCATCTCCCAGATGGAGAAGGAACCCCCACATCCCCTGGAGGCTACAGATGTTACTGAGCAATACTTCTGCTGGCTTGGTGCTGTGTAAAAACTCTCCTTTCCACTTTCCTTCCCCTAAATTTGGAAAGATAGCAAGTCTGCCTGCTTGGTATTCCCAGGGCACAGCAACAGGGTGGGCAGCCTGACAGTTGCCTTTATAAACACTTGAAGGATGGGCTTGCTCTTTCTTGGCATGCAGAAACTCAGTGTTTCCCAGCAAGATCCTGGTTGCCAAACCCCCCCAAACCTGGCCATGATACCCTGACCACCAGCCTGAGATGGGCATTGCCTTGGCAGCCCTGGGCAGAGCCTGCCAGTGGCTGGGGTGTGTGAGCAGCCCTGTGGCTCGTCCTGGCTGGGGTCTGCACCCATCTGTGCACGGTGCTCCTGGGGCTGGTGTCACCTCCGAAGCTCAGGAAGGAGAGAGCTGGCCAGCTGACCCCAGGAGAGCCAGCTGTGTGCAAGGGGATGGCTGGGATGGCTGGGGAAGGGATGTGGTGTGGGCTGTGCTGGACCCTGCCTCACCCCCATCACCCTCCAAAGGGCTTTAAGGTGCAAACAGGAACAGTGGGGTTTGGGTTTGCCACAACTGGCAGCCCTGCCTGGTGCCATCAGCCAGGCTGGAACTGGATCAGGGCATACACAATCAGGGAATCATAGGATAGCTGGGGTTGGAAGGGACCCTTTAAGGCCATCTAGTCCAACCTCCCTACAGTGAGCAGGGACATCTCCAACCTGACCAGGTTACTCAGAGCCCTCTCCAACCTGCCTTTGAATGTTTCCAGGGATGGGGCATCCCCTCACCTTTCTGGGCAACCTGTGCCAGTGTTTTACCACCCTCATTGCAGAAAACTTCTTCCTTATATGTAATCTAAACCCGTTATCTTTCAGTTTAAAAGCATTACTCCTTGTCCTATCACAACAGGCCCTGCTAAAAAGTGTCTTTCTTCTAGGCCCCCTTCAAGTACTGGAGGGCCACAATAAGATCTCTTTGGAGCCTTCTATTCTCTAGGCTGAGCATGGGCAGAGCAGCTGAAGTGATGAAAGCTGCCCAGACATGCCTGTACAAAACAAGCAAGGAACAGGATCTTCCTCTCTATCTCTGCATCAGTAGGGATGGTCGATGTGGTTGAGTCATGATGCACTGCTGTGTGCAGGGGCTTGTCTGCACTATGCAGAAAAATATCTTCCTACTTCTCTAAACCCTTCCCTCTGAGGAATAATTGTCTTGCAGGAATGGTAAATACTATATCACAGCCCTGGGATAAGAATTTCAGCACTCTGTCCTTCCAGCATTGCCTGCATCAGGAAAACACACAAAAATGTGCCTGCAGCAACACAAATACAGTTCCCTCATTGCCCTTTGAATAGTTGTCTGTGGTAAAGTTCAATAAAACATTGGCAGAACTGTTCAGTGAACCACACATTAAGGAAGGCCAGGTTTAATTTTCAGCATTGATCCTCCACAGAAGAACTCACTCATATCAGCCAGTTCTAGTTTCTCATTCAAAATGAGCATTGGAGAGGAGGAAAGTCTATGAGAACATTTCTACCCTGGCTAAATTCCCCCTTGGGGTAAGTGAAGGTCCTTTGAAGCATCAACTAGAGAGGGAGAGAGTCAGTGGTGACAGGAGAGCACATTTCAAAGTGTTTTACCTTGACCGTGTCCAGGGGATGGCCCACAACCACACTGGCAATTCCTGGGGACGGAAGCAAAGTATTACACAAAACACTGAAGAAGCTTTTGTGACAGGACAGGGTGTGATGGGCTCAGAGGAGAGGAGAAGAGATTTCCATAGGCACAGTTGTAATGGCCAGCATAGTGCCCTGTCCCTGACAACAGGCAAAAGCAGAGCAGAGACACTTCCACATCCTTCTGTGGACGCTCTCCTGGACTCCATCAGCTTTACATCTCAAAGGCATCTGAGCAAGAGAAGGAGGTGTTGTGCTTGTGTGTCCTGTCCATGACCAGCCCCTTTCGCATTCCTGTAGGCTCACACAAATTTTTAGCCTCAGAATGGTGAGATTCTAGTCAGACACAAGGCTGGGGGTGTGCGGGGGGCTCTGGAAGTCGCTCCCGCTCCGCAGCACCGCACTCTCCAAAACTTCAATTTTAAGTATCCCGCCCGTGGAAATGGGATTAAAACGGCACTTCCGAGCCAAAGCAAAGCAAAGCAAACCGCGGGAGAGCCCGGGCGGAGAAGGCACAGACCGCGGGTGACACGGGGGGATCGTCCCCTCGCTGTCCCCCCGCTGCCCGCACCCCGAGCCCGCGGCATCGCTC